ACAGTCGGTAAAGAAAAATTGCTTCTTTTGGGAGTTATTAGTAATAATTCGCACAAAGGCCAAGCTCTACACGAACAGAGTTCCGGAGCACAAACGAGGAAGAGGTACGAAGCAATGCAAAAGGTGGACGAAACTAACGATAATCTTTGTTTTAAAAGGGTCAGCACCTCACCTTTCGTCGTTGTCCTTGCTTTTGATGTTTCTGTGGCTATGGATGCTTTTGCAGCTGTCGATGATTTCGTTGTTACCCTAACTGATGTCATAGTTTGTGATGGTGGTGGTGATGTTGAAGCTAAAATGTAAATTTAAGATGGATCTAAAGATCAAGTGAACGCTGAAAGTGCCTTCTTGAGGCCAAGTGTGTAATCATCAGAAATGAATATCCTACATGTATGTGATTTATGGTGTTAAAATAGAAAACGGCTTTACTCAACTAAAAGGAAATAGGAAATTATGAAATGGGGATGCCATCCCCCTCCACTAATTGGGTTAAATTGTCAGGAGGTTAAGACCATCTCAAAATTTCACCGTGAAGTCTGACATAATCCGAAAGTCTGAGGTCCGACTCCTCATGGAGAATTTTTTTCTTTGTCCCACGTTCGAAGGAAGAGCTTATCACCAGTTAAAATTTACCAAATTTTATGCTCTATGTAGAGAGTCTTAATGGGGTTAACCGTTAGCCGTAAAACAGCCAAAAACATTTAGCCGTTAGGCGTAAAATTGGGAGATTATAAACATGAATCGTGAAAAAAGCTAACCGTAAAAACTGTTCCTTGTAGAGTGTGTTAGTTTTGTATCATTTTTGGGTAAACCGTTAGCTGTAAATAACCAAAATTGTAACGGTTAGCCGTAAATCATTCCATTGAGACCCTATATTCAGTTATTGCTCTTTATTATTATTTTAATCTAATAGAACCTACTTTTTTTGTCAGAGAATGACAGCATCCCAGTGACAGCACTATTATACGGGATGCTTATAACCTTCAAGTAGAAAAAAAATTAGGGAATTTAAATGAATGAATAAAATATCGAAGGCACTGGGGAGTTGACGAACGAGCGGACCAACGAACGGATGGAAGAAAAGATGAACAAATTTAATTCATAAATGAAAAATTCAATGGGATAATGAATGGACGGATGAGTGAATGCATGCAAGCATTCCTGCATGCACGTAGATATACAAGCATCCTTCCATGCATGCAAGAAGGGTTAGATGGATCAGTATATTATAAATAAGTCAGTGAAATGACATATTTTAGTGCATTTAGAAATATGAGGGCAAAAGACGACACTAAAACAAAGAGAGTAAAACATCAGGAAATCTGCATTTCACTCCTTGAACTTACCACTAGGTGAATATTCTCGCCCTGAATATAGCCATAACTAGATATGTTTATTCTGAAAGACGTTTGGTTCTAAAAACATGATAGGAGGAGAAAAGTACAACGTAAGTCCATGAAATTTGCCTTAATCAAAGCTTTTGATGTGACAGCTGGTGAGGAGAATTACGAATCATGCAGATGGGGGTTGAAAGGAAAAGTATGCCAAAAATACCATGCACGCAATTATTAAAAAAGTGTCATTAAGTGAACAAAAAACTCGCACGCTGCTGTTTTTAAATCTTGCTTATTGGCCTGGTCGCTCATCTGTGACGTAAAAAAGTCTTGCGCCCCCCCCCCCCCCTTCACTTCTCCCCATTTTCTTTCCTATTCTCCATGTAATATATCTCTAGAGTTTGGAGGCATTCTTGATACCAGTAAGAGCAAATGATGATTTCTTTTTGTGTGTGAATTGCGTATATAGCAGGCTGTAATCGTTAGTCTTATTAGCATTTTTAGCATTTTTTCGCCGCCAGAAAGTTTGTGGCCTTGAGCAAGAGGTCTGCTAAGGCTCTAACGCCGATAATGAGGTGCCGAACCCTTTTCAGGACTCTCGCTGGCTGACTTTGATCAAGGCCTCAACCTCTCTCGCGGACGAAGAAAGACTGATGTCGCAATGCATTTAATGAGTGTCTGCTTACACAATGCGAACTGCAACTGTGGTATTGCGTTCGCATCCAGGTTGTTCAATTATATTGAAATAAAGGCGTTCGCAGTCGATGTTCATCCCAATTGAAGACAGTTTTCGAAAGATTACGTTACTCTTTGGTATCTCAAATTGCGGAGGGCGACTGATGTTTTATGTACAATAGTTAAATTGTGGATATAAATCTTGAGGCTTCTCAAGCTAATAGTCTCCATTCAGTCTTTGCTGGAATAGCCACGAAACGTATGAGGGTATACACTTATTTTACCTGTTTACACAATACCAGTCGACCAGATCAATCAAATATCTTATGGATAAAGCTAGCAATGAGACCTCTCTTCTTACCTTCGGCACCTTAGCACAAAGTATATCACTGTCAAACGAGTAGCGAACAGAATAGCCTTTTAAAAAACCAGCCGTATCTATGAATTTAACAAAAAATATTAGAGAGAATATAAGACTTTAGGACAAGCACGGCAATTATTCCGACAACGAATATTTTCATGAAGTTTAGAGCGGAATTGTGAGAAATATATCATTCAAAGGATATATCTGTTTCGGATTGAAAAGTCTCAGAGGCCATGGTATGAATAGGTTCAAGCGAACGTTTGTGCCTTGTAATAAATTGCAGACGTATAACTATAGATTTTCTCTATTGAAGTAAATCATATTCGTAGTTTTCAGATAATTTTCAATCGGTCTTCAAATACAACATTTTCCCTACGCTTTTGCGCGCTATAATACGTTTAACTCCAAGAAATGAGAGAGCTTTAAGAAACGCATCGTACTTACACCAGTCATCAAAACACTGTTCAGCCATTGCTATTCAGAAGCAGGTTCTAGCCCACCGTTTTAATGAAACACTCAATTTTGTCAACAGCGTTGTGAGGTCTTATAGCTAACTCAGTGAAAATATTTATCTTCTGGCGAAAACTTCACTTTTTGCCAGCGATCTCCTGGTTCAATGACTGTTTTAAAAAAGCCACTAACAAAGTTACACTGCTTCGCTTGTGGAATAAGTGGATCTCTGTGTTCAGGGGCAAAGGCTAATAACGCCTTTTCTTTCTTTTTACCTCTTTTTTTGCTTTTTTGTTTATTTGCTTTTGCTAGTTTTTTTTTTTTCTACTCCTTTATTACTGCTGTTTGCGTTGTTTGGAATAATAAAGGACAGGCAATAAGCCAGTAACGCACCATTGATTGGAATCCAAGATACGTAGGCATACCAGTCGTCTGTGTTATCATACTGTCCGAATTTTACGGAGACATTGGATGCAAGCTGTATTTCAGGTACGGGTGAATTGTCATCAGCCCTGCTCGCACAGTCTAAAATAAAGGATAACCTTAAGCTACAAAAAAACAACTGTCTTATTGGTGTATATTGAGGATCATGATACATTAAAGAGCGATGCGGATAAGAAAAATTTTTGTTCACCATTTAAGGCAAACGGCCGGGCTCCTGTGAGGGCGATGAAATGCCTGCCGAACAATCTTGTTCGAAAGTATTAAAATAAATCACCAACTCTAGCCAATCAGAGTTGACAAAAGAATCGGCAAAAAGGGTTAGCCAATAAAAAGTCAGTGGACATTTTCTTACAAAAGAGTGACGTCACGGAACACGATTAGTGTCAGGTTTGCGTAAACGTTCCCTCGCCTCCGTTTTACCCTGGGGGAGGGGGGGGATACGGTTACACGTAAGCTACTCGTGGCCTGCTGGGAGCTTCCTGGCAACCTCTGGATTTTACCCGGTTTAAAGAGCCTGCGACTAAGAAAAAACTCTTTCATCCTGAGCCAAGTTAATCGAAATAAGACTTGCGCTGGATTTAATTCTCTAAAAAGCTCTTTCCAGAGATCTTTTTCGCCAGACAGAAAACAGTTTATTCTTGGGCTAAGGTTGAAGAAAACCAAGTGATACTTTTCCTGCCTTAGCGGAATTTAAAAATTTGGCATGGTGATATTTTCCAGAATTTTTGTGACAAACTGTTCAAGTTTCCCGCTCCAAAACGATGCCCATGTTCCAGCCGAAAACTTGTTAAACAAAATCAGATATACTTACCATAACTAAGAGATTGCCTCCGACGTCTTACAAAGGCAGTGACAGCATGTCGATAGAGGTCTGAAAAGAGAGAAGAAACGGATTTTAATCCAAAAATTACATTTCCTTTGAATATACGTAATACTTTTGCTTCTTTCACTGGAAAATTTAGACTGACTTTTTTATGGCTCAGGAATAACAGTGAGTTATAACTGATTTCCAAAGACAGCAGATTTAACTGAATGTATAGTTTTCTTATCTGTTTCAATCCAGTCTCGAATACTTTCAATTTTAATCATCCACGTCAATTTGGTACATTATTCTCTTCATTACTCTTCGCTCTCTTCAGTGATAATCATCGTTCCCTTGTTGGCTTAGAACCAAAGATAGCTCAAAGATAGTTTTATTTCCGAGCGCTAAAAACAGTCCCATGTGAGAGGCAAAAACATTGTCTTATTGTGATCTCTATTCAACTTTATAAGCATTATTTACCTCTCCTCCTTCTTAAACACTGATCGCAGGAGAGAGATGAGCTGGCCTGAAAAAATGCAAAACATAAAGGTAAAAACATGATCTCTGTTCAAAGGACTGTGCGTAGGTCAAAGCTTTAAAATTGTAATCAAGATGTTTGTGGCTCTCGACTTCAAATTGACAGACCAACAGTATTCTTCTGCCTCAACATCGAAAGCGCTTTGAGTACTTGGAGGAAGACGCTAATGAATTTGAAATATCGCATTCAATTTTTCTATTTGCATTTACATCAATAAATTAGATCTTCTTCCCCTGCATTTCATGGATTTACTCTAAAGTGTGTTTGTTTAGCTCCATCCTGATGGATGGAGAAAGCTTTAATACATTCAGAATTGATCGAAAATGAAAAATGAGACGATCTTGGAGTTTTGACGCAGGCTAATGTTATCATTTAATTTCTATTAAAAAAAAAAAAAGGAAAGCACTGATCAGGGCTTTCAATTCAACAGTTGCAAATTAAGCAGAAAACGCAAAAATAGCCATTCCAAATTGGCAAAAATAAAAGCCTAGTATCCATTTCCGCGTGAATAGTGCCTTGGTCTCAAATTGCTTTCATTCCTTTCATGATCTTCATTGTTCCTCTAGTTTATGCTCGTTTCGTGTCAAAAGGTGTGGTTCCATTCGAATAACAGCATTAAACATGACTCTATACATATCTATTCTTATTGGGTGGATAATCTGTCGGTATCTTAGGTAACGAGAGGTTAGATCTCAACCACTTATTGAAGTAATAGGGTTAACCACTACTTAGGGAGAGTGGAAAACATGTTTTGCTGGTGTGAATGGGGCCTAAATTTATTTCAGATCTATGACCTGTTGGAGCACTAATCTTTGTGGTTCGTTCATTCTATCGAAGAAGCAATTCCCATAACTTGTGGATGAACGAAAACAAGTTATACTTTTGTAATCAAAATTTACGAAGTAGACCTCATACTCATGGTTTTAACGCATATTAAATGAGATAAAGAAATGACTGCTTTTGAATATGTTAACTTTTAATTATATATAAAAGAATCGACTGATAAAGAAAAATATTGGATGTTGTCGACCACAATTATTTACCTGTCACGTTCCACACGTTGTTAAAATTCTCTCTTCTTTGTTCTTAACGAGTGGTTATCATTATCATTCTTACTCGAGGCAGCCCGAGGTGAAAAAAAATTGTATTTTAATGAACAGTAGACAAAAGACTGAAAACACAATTCATTAACACGCAAAAGTAAATACAGATAGCAAGATAACAAACTCTTGTTGGCTCAGCACATTTGTTTTCGAACCCCAGATCGCGTGACCTTCACGAAGAATGCACATGATCGAAACTTGTCTGTCCTGATGTACGACAAATTTTCCTTTGTGCGTGCCATGCCAGAACCTGCGAAAATTGGCTTGAACCGGAATCGTTTAAGTCTCTGCTCCAAACCTAATGTATTGTTGATAATTGCAATATATTGATTTCGGTAGACTTTCTCGGTGTTTATCGCCTGGTAATGTTTTCATTTATGATTTGGTAATTATTTTCTTTTTCTTTAAATTTCAACGTGAATTCTAATAATAATCAAGAAAAGTGAAGTAAAGAAAGTTTTATAACACACTTCCTAAATTCAGCCATTCCCAGCAATTTTCACAGGTGTAGGATGTTTTCCAAGCTAATGGCATGGAGGGAACAAAACAATGCCATGTAGGAGGAAATTTTATGTTCAAACGTTAATTTATTCTCTTTCGTTTTCTGTCTTTCCCGTGCAAACAAACAGTAAGATCTTAAAAATTCCGGTTTGCTTCCTTTAATGTAAATGATCACTAATTCTGGAAATCCTATCCTGATTGTAAACAATCTACCCTAAGAATTCGACACTGAACGCTATTTCAGTATTGCTAACTTCATGAAAATGGGTTACGCGGCAAACTTCGTTTCGCAATTCCTTAGCCTTGCTGTATTTTCAAGTTTAGTAAAATTTCACAATAGGCTCATAATTGTCTCGAGGGCAAACTAGAAACTAAACGTACTATGATAAACATACTCTGCGGTAAACAAAAGTCGATGACAACTATAAATGCACGAAAGAACACGAATAAAACATTGTCGCTAATTTGCAAACATTGTTGATGCAACAATTTCTAAGGTACTGAAGTTTTTGGGCCAACTCAAAAGAAAACTCGAAGGAGCGGGAGACAGGATAAATTCATGTTCACATCTTGATTTCACGTCCAACAGGGTTAAGTTTGTTCGACTGCTAATTGAATATACCTCAGTGCTTCGCAAATCAGTATGACTTGAGCAAATTATATTCCCTGTTTGAGATAACATATTTTCTAAATTGAAGCAATCACTCAACGAAAATAGTGCTCCATGTGACAATGCGAAAAGAGAGGTATTTCAGAGTAAAATTATCTGGCCAAAGCACAAAAAGGGATTGAAAAACTCAATACGACGTGATCGTGCATTAAAGCATCAATCATTTGATGCTACATTAACTTCATTGACCTATAATATGTATGATCAAGCAAACCATGTTAAATCTTTATTACCGAATTTGCATGGAAGATTATTAGCTCCATTTCTGTTTGCACTATCATATCTGGCAAACTAATTCAGAAATTGGTGAAATTGATGACATTTCTTTTTAACCGCACTTTGAGCTGAATAAAGCAAAGGCCTTCGGTACGAAATTTTCTTCGCTTGATCTCTTCTTCAAGGCAATACTCCTGGATGTTTTGGTATCATTAACGGTAATTGTCGTCAAATATCACATGCACAGAATTTGCTTTGTTAATTTTTTTGTTTGTATACAAATATCAGAAATTCGCGGCAGCCACAACTCTGCCTTGAACGCTTCAAGTGAATTTTGCGATTAAAACCTCTATACTTTCAAAACGCTACATTCGCAGCCAACGGCCGATTTCACCATAACATGGAAATTTCGATGTAAATGGAAGAGAAAGAGACAACTTACCCGAGCTCTCTTGGTCAAAGATTTCTGCTCGTCCCAGCCGCAGGCTCGTAGGCACCCTGCTATGTTGTGTTCATCTTGGTCTAAACATTCTGTCAACGTTCCAGTGATAATAAGTGCCCCTACTGCAGCTATGATGATTCTCACATTCATGGGGTCTATTGTTACTCTCAAATCAATTGCCACAGCTAAAAGGCACGTTAACCAAGAATCGGCGCTCGTTGTCTTGGGTAGAGAAGCTGAAATAGCACCATAACCAAGGTCGACTGGAATCGACTGACTATCATTGTTTTGTGATGCAGATTTAACTGCACTAAGACATGCTATCTAAGTTAGTATAATTTCACACCTGGATAATTATGACACATTTCATTTCCAAGATCGATCAATAAATTATCCTTGTCAATATTTCAAAGAAAATTTTTTTTTTTTGAAATTTCAGGAAAATTTCTCAGAGGTCGTTATCGGTTATTGAAATCGTTTCCTGGATGTTTTGGTATCGTGTTTTGGAAGAGTGCCTAAAAAGGAGAATGTTGCCAAAATTTATAACCGTAAAAAACCCACAGCAGATTAAAAGCTCAGGCAACTACAACACAACCCGCAGCAATGAACTATACTTGCAATTAATCCTTAATTCATCACTTGCTTGTGAAACGAGGCAAACTCTCGCTTTTTTTAACTGGATCTGTGCTGTTCTCTTCTGCTTCCGAATGAACTTCTACGTTTTTCAAGTAAATACTCCTACTAAACCTTAATGATTCCATACCAAACGTTTTTATTTATTTACCTCTATAGTTATCTATTAATTAATTAATTCCATCATCTAATCGTCAGATGCTCATTAGGTTTCAAATCTGAAGAACTATAATTTGCTCCATCTACCGGACTTTGTATATCTGCTAAGCTTACTAATTTTAGCGCATATATTGAACCAGCTTCGAAGTCTTGGTAACGGATGCGATACCAATTAAACGAAATCGAGCTTCAAGCATCCAGTTTTCATGAGATTGCGTTTGGAGTCTCGTCTCCAAATTTTGAGAACAATGAAAGATAAAAATTACATTATCACTGTATTTTTTTTTTCCTTTAACGGAGTAATGAGGGCGGATTAGATCCACGGAAAGCCATATGCACTCAAAAATTAATTCATCTTCCCGAGCGATCAAGTAACACCTTAAGCTAAAATTATGCATGTTAAGAAAACAGTGAAGCCAAGCATTCAGAGCAGGCGGTGTGCGCAGTCCGATTACGTTGCATTGTGGTAGCTTCATTTTCAATATGGCGACCAAAGCTGCAGAATTCCGCAGATTTTGACGGAACATTCCGTAAAAGTTAGGCCGTTCCTTTTCCCTTTCACCATAGATAAATGTAATTTGATTTATTCTGAATTTGTAAAAGTATTTTTCGTACGTATTTGTCGCGTATTCTATGGTTCTGAAGGACAAACGCAATCACTGTTTTTTTTTTTGGAATGTAATTTGACGCCATATTTCGAGAAGGTCAAATTTGATGTACGTCGCAGTTTGGAGCCTTTCAAAGATTTGGGTGGCCGCTTTGATCCTTCTTTAACAGCTCTGACCAAACGCTCTCAAACGCTCTCCGACGGTATATGTGTTTCTCGCATTTTAAGTGCTGGTGTTTGAGACCGATTATGGCCGACAAAAAGGCCCATTGTTGCGTTACACAGCGCTACTATTGTATACTCAATAGTGTTGTAAATCTACTTTCCTAAGAAAAAGTAAATTAACTTATCGCGAGTGTTGTATGGTAAATCAACTATCTTGATCATTGAAAGAAGAACAGTTGAATTAGAGCAATGAAAGGAGTCACTAGACCAATTAATAGCTCTACAATGCACACGGCGACACGCCGGGTAAGCCGGAAAGCAAAAGGGAGTCGATCGTTAAAAGGTGTTGATAGGCCTATGCGACTCTCGCCATTCGCTTGCGCTTTTAAATCTTCTAACCTGAAAGCTTAGATGTTATTTGGATATTCATCAGTGACTTTCGTTAGCGATACGATAGCAAGGGTTAGTTTTAAGGTGTCATTTCCCCGTCTGTATGTTTTTAAGGTTTGGCAAAGCCTGATGGGATTGTGTTACAAAAGGTAATATTTTCATGTATACGCACTATTTTTTGTTTTTGTTTTTAAGTATCAGTCTCTCCCGCAGAGAACAACTCTAGATATACGTTTCTCAAAACCTTATTTTAGGTATTCTCTATTCTTTAAGCATATTTGAAACTCTGTACGTTTTTTTATTAAACGTTGAGCGTGACCAATTTGGTCTTAGGAGGCGTAAGGCTTCTCCTCTCACGAATCCCGTATTTACGCCTTTAAGTGTATGACATAAAAATAGTTCTTGCATTAGAGGGTCGCTGCCTCTTTGGAATGCGTTTGCATGTCAAGGGTCGATTCCCAGTTAAATAACTCGCGAATTTGATATTATCCACATAGCCATCGGCTGTGAGTGTAACTGCCGCCAAATGAATAGATAAACAAGAAAGGCTGCAGTTTCGATTCTTTTTGAATCTCTTCAGTTTTCTTTTACGACGACGAAATTTGTGACGAAGGAATAATAGGAGTCGCACACGCTCGCAAACACTTTTTAACTTTCGAAGGAACGGCAACAGCCAGTGAATTCTATTACATTCCACGTTTACTCACACTGTCTTGCTGCCACCAGAAATGTTCACTCGACCGCGAAAGGACGCAAATGACTCACTTTTCGCTTTACGACCATGATGCAACGCAATCAGAATGCGCACACCGCCTGTATTCAGAGTAGGGATTAAAAGACCATATCCCGGCAGTGAAAACTCGACAAGGCCCAACGAACGAAGAGAAGGCCAAAATTGAACCAGGCTCAAAGAAGGAGCACCTACAACAGAACTGATTTGTTTACGTCTGGTCTATGACTTATAGCAAGCAAATAAGATAAATACCTTGACATCTAGGGCTCTCCCCGTGTGGAACAGAGAACTTTCTACATAAGACAGCAGCTACTATAATCATGCACACGACACCTGCCGTCGACCAACGGAAATAAGCACATACCTCATGGTTTTGTTATAACCTGGATAAATACGAATTATGTATAGATAGATGTCAATAATTTTGTCATGAGTGGGAAACAAAGTAAAAAATCTGAGTCCCTAGCAAAGAAGCGGGTCCTAGACCGGAATCCGCTCTCCGATACTCTACCACTGAGCCTAAGAGAAACTCTGTGGTGAGTTAGGCCATCACGGGGTACATACCTGAGTTGTGACCAGCATCCTGATGGGATCGGCGTTAGCTTTGTTCTCAATATCCAGAATATTTACTTTCCAACATGTATTTATAAACATGGCAAGGGAAACTTCATTAGACACATTGGAGGGCTGGAAATAAATTTTTGGAGAAGCTATCAGTTAAGGTAAAGAACACACTCAATCGTATCTGTCAAACAGTGTGCACAGAACACATTCCAAAACTGTTAAGATTTAAACAAATCTTCGTAGCTTCTCTGCATTTTAATTCAAAGTTGTGTAGTATACGACTCCTAAATTTGCTTAATCTAGAGTTAATCCAGTTTCAGAGCTTTATTCTTTCTTTACAGATAGACAAACTGCATTATGTTTTCATGATATAGGTAACTGCTATCACGGTCAGTTAGCTATTAGAGGACTTAAGACCCTAACTAAAAGATCTAGTAATCAGTTGGAGATTCATGTTGAATTTGTTTTGAAGAATTTTAAGACTTTACCGATAAGAGAAGATAACCAAAATCCTTGATAAACCGTCATGGTTTAGATTCAGATCAAGAAGACCAACGGATCTAAAGTCGATTTTGCTATACCACTCTGAGTGGTGCAGGGCGCAGGGCGACGAGAAGGACACGAGATATCTAGTCGCCCTCTCATTAGGTCTGTCTACAGGGGTATCATTCACAACACCCTTAGCCTTGAACGATTTAAAGTAGAAGTGTCTGTTTGAAAAAGTAACTCTTGCTGTGAATGAGATAAAAATTCTAAATCAGAAATGAATTCCACATCTCTGGGATTTACCATAGTCCAAAAGGGGTAGCCAAATTATAGAGCTTAATTTTTGTACGCTGCTTGTTATGAATATTTCATAATATAATGATATTGTTGCTAACAACCGATGTAAAGGAATATGATAAAAATGATGAAAAGAATACTAACGCGACTTAAGAATAAGCTCCTCTATTGTTTTGCTCTCATGCAAACTAAATGACTCAAAAAAAATTCCGAAACACCTCTGAATATTTATTTCATGGCAACCATTTTAAAGAGATCCTTCACAGTAGATGTCGATGCAACTTTGTTCCATCCAAATTCCCCAAAGGGAAATTCACGATTAGATACGTACAAGAAGGTAAGGAGATTAACCAGCTCTTCCAAGATTTATACAAGGTAACTCAATAGACTATCAATATTTGAATTGCACTTATTCAAAGCGTCGAGGTTAGTTTTTTTTCCCTCAATTGCCCAATTTAATTTAACATGTTAATGATTAAGCTCAACACATTTAATATTTAATGTAGATGGCAGTTTCATCCTTTCGACAATACAACTATAGGTTATGGAAGTTATGTCTCTGCGATAGCTAGCCTTAAAAGGAAACTACTAAGCTCTAAAATTTTAAGCATAATCAGAAATTTTAACCAAGAATTCCAAGTTGGCTAGACAGTGTTTTCCTTAACTGATGGTATTAGTCTGGAAAGATCGCGTTGAAAGACTGATTGTACTGCAAGAAATTGGATCACTTTTGGCTAGGATACATGATACCTTAGTCAATGAATGAGTAGTTAACTATCGCTGAAGGGAAATATCTTTTGTTCACTACTGGTTAAAAAACCTGGTCAAAATTGCAAAATTGCCTTCTGCAAAATAAACTATCTCTGTGTTTTATACGTGTTTTGAACAATAAACACTGACAACGGCAATAATTAAGAAAGCTAGTACGCGTACGCCATTGAGAAAACAGAGAAAAGAAATGTAACAGGTTTATGGCAAATCAGTTGAATTGAAGAAAACTACAAGAATGTTGAAAAACTTTGTAAAACTACGCGCTAATATTAAGACATTTTTGGGCTCATATGGGTGATCAAAGTCAAATAACCATGCCACTCTCAGCGATGCAATGTCACCCACACACTGCAAGCCGCCACTACATTGATTTCAAAGTCGAAATCTTCAATCTGTCGCAATAGAAATGTAGAGGTTGCTTCTGCTTACAGAAAAAAAAATACGAATTAAATTTTTCAATTAATTTGATTACTTATATGTACAAAGGATTGTTTTATGATGTCATGAGGCCACGACAAGTTCAAATATTTAAGCTACACCTTGCAATGAAATTTTAAAAAAAACATTCTTTGAAAATTTTGTGCTGCACGATTTGTGTGTAATTTCACAGTCACTTGAACAACTACATTTAAACTTACAACTGTAATAACATTAATTCTCCATCTAATAAAAGTCTATTTCACAACTTCAACCTTGCATAACCACAATTGTAAACAATAACACTAACACACTCATGACATTAACACTCCTTCGGTCCCTTTCCACAGCTTGACCATTAAGTCCTTTTGCTGGTAAAGACAAATATCTAAGCAACACCAGAAAGACATAGCTATATACGTTTCTCAGATCTGATGCCAAAAATTGAGCGTATATTTGACACAGCTCCCAGTAATTATGGCAAGTCCTTTAATTTTCTCGTCCTCTTTATGAGTTCAATCAAAACTTTCGAAATTTAAAATTGTGAAGAGGCATGGAGGTAAGCTCTGTTAGTTGAACTTCCAGTTTGAGATGACTGTTTTTCATATTTAAGTTAGCGTGGATAATTAGCTGGGTACATGGTCACTACTTTTGCGGGTAAAAGTCGAGGACGACGGTGCTTTCGGCAACATGACTTGGTGCATACGACCTTTACGAAATTCGTTCCACGCAACCTGCCTCGATGTGGAAAGTGTCCCACTATGAAATTGAATTCGCAAAAGTAAATCAAGCGACGGCGATGGGTCGCTCCTTCTAGTACTCCTGAACGAAGCCTGTCGACAACTTCTTCAAAGAAGAAACATGGATGAATGTTATAAGTGGATGTAGGTCTGTCTTGCACACATTCAGAAGAGTAATGCCTTTGAATAACGTGCATCTTTCTTTCAGAAGAAATAGAAACTCGTTGAAGAATGTCGTCACAATTTAGGCACGGTGGATTCATAATTTCAAGTTCTTCCTAGATCTCGATTTGTCGAGTTTCGTTCGGCTAAAACGCAGTTTCTTTGGTTGAAAGTGTGGTCACAGCCTCGTTCGGATATAACGCACTGTCATTGGTTGAAAAATCTAATCGGCTAAAACGCAGTTTCTTTGGTTGAAAGTGTGGCCACAGCCTCGTTCGGATATAACGCACTGTCATTGGTTGAAAAATCGGCTGCGTGCTTTGTTGGAGTTAGAGCATAGGGCTTAGCTAAAGCTGTCACGCCATCTGCCTAATTGAAGGGCTAACGCTCGAAACGTCAGCCTTTTTCACTCTTTACGGTGGCCAATTTACGTCATTAAGTCAGTTGATAACACTAAATTACCCTGTTATATTCTCCCACCGAAGCTATCGGATGAACTAATAAGCGCAGAGAACGAGTGATTTTTTTGGTGCATCGCGAGGAGTAATTAGCAAGGAGCACTTTCCATGGTATGATGTTTTTATTTCATACATACTGAGATTTTTTCTCTTTGACCAACACATCTAGAGGTTGGAAGCTATTTTTTGCCTCCACTTTATAGTACCATCGTTCGTGTCTCTGATTGGTCGAACGTTGTATTTTCACAGCCCGACTTCGTTCGGTATGAACGAAATAAAACTATTCTCTTCGTAGCATAGAGTTACAACGTGAAATATTGATCCTCTCAAAGCTAGAGGGTTGTTGTGAACATTCTCTTTTTATAAGAATGTCTTATTTAGGGGCTGAGGCTAAACGTTCTCATCTTACTTTATGCGATTTGAGCTTAAAAACGTTCTTAAACTTGTGTGGTATAGTATTTCAAGAGGTAATTTAGTGTCAACAACTGAGTCGAAAACGTAAATTAGCCACCGTAAAGAGTTTAAAGGCTGACTTTTTGAGCGTTAGCCCTTCGTCAGAGCGATTGCAGCATTTCGATAAATCGATCAAGTTCGACTGCAAACTCAGTTGATCTTCAGTGTATCGCGTAATAAGAACACAACATTCATTTGTTAATATAAAAAAAACTCCCAAAGTATTTGGGTTCATTGTCCTGTGAGACCACATTTATTTATACTTGTCACAAAAATGTGACTTTCAGCCTTGGTATGTTCCGGCTTAGTATGTTCGCAAAATTTTGGTTAATCTCAGCCTGAACGTTCTTATGAAAAAGGTTCTTGTATTAAAAAAAGAAGGAGTGAAAAGCCATAATTGAGAGCATGTAGATTCCAGTGGCACATTTAACAATATTTGAACAACTTGACTCAACATATTACAGCGCCTCGAATATGTATGCCCAATAATTAATTTATAATCATAAATTTGCTGTGTTCGGGAACTGACAGCAGGCTGACGACCAAAGCGAGCCCTCATTGGAATGCTCATTTCCACTGAGTTATGAAGATTATTTAGGGAATTATGCTATATGCTTTTTGGCAACCTAAGATCCCCAGACATATACCAACTTAAAATCCAACTCGACGACCTTTTTGGAATTTTCTGAAATACTTAAACAGAACTAAACGGCTTTTAAACCAGTTAAAGATATAGATAAAAGTTTCATGAAATTTCCGTGGAGCGCTTTAAACTGGTTTAGAAATACCTCTTACTATAGCCTAATCCGAGAGCCGCACTGTAAGTTACGGACCGAGTTTTTTTCCGTAATTTATAATGCGGCCCGAGAAAAACGAGGCTAGGATAGTTAGGATAGAAGATAGTTATTATATTTCAATTCAAATAGAAGGGAAAAATATTTTAATTCAAGCGGAACGGCCGTGATGATTTACGCCCGTCAAATCTTAAGAACGAGAGCATTTTATTGGCTTCATCATAAATAATCATAAAGCTTTTCCGTAAAGCTATTTGCAAACATCTGTATTCTCATCAGCTTCAAGCTGGATAGTTTATTGATATTTTAGGAAGTTAAAACGCAGAATTAATTCTTGGAGTGAAAAGGGTTTACCACAAGTGAACCAGAGCGAGGTCTTGTCTTAATCTCCAGTAGCTCGTGTTAACTTAGCTATCAAAAGCCCTTTTTGGTAGGTTGAGGAAATAACCTCGACGACTCAAATAACGAAAGCACGTTCGCTACGGTTTCAAATTAGTGGCAAAAACATCGTCTTGCTACAAAAGAATATTTGTTACTTACTTTCTCAGGTATAGATCTAGAATGACGTAATCAGTAAAAGCATATCATGCGTGAGAGACGTGTTACAACTTGCCTCGCTGTATATTTGACAAAGATTCAAAGTTTAGTTCTGATTAATGACTCATTGGAAAGTAATCATTGTTCCTTCGTTTGTTGTGCTTTGTCCAGATGATCTAATTCTGAAAAACCTCAACTTTTTGTGTTTTTGTTTGTTTTTCGCTTGTCACTTGTTCTGCAATTTTTTTGTGATTACTTTACGTCAGAAAAACAAATTTCCAGACATTAATCAAAATGGAATCTATCCATATAAACGTATGAAATAAGATGTATTCAAATGACAATCAAAGTACGCGATAAAATACGGTCGACTTCCGCAATTGAATATTTCATAGCGAAAATTTTGGGTATTTTGGTATAAGCAATGGTAATGGGCCCAGAATTTACTTTATTAAATTGCTATTTAAACTCGTTGTTTATGTTCAAATATAAGAAATTTGAGGCGACTACAACTCTGCCTCGAACACTTGGATTTTTTGCGATCAAACTTAGTTACTTTCAAAATGCAATGTTCTCAGCGAATGGCTGAGATGCATCCACAATGTAAAAAGTTCGATGTAAAAATAACAAAAAGTGATAACCAACCTAACCTGCCTGGTTATTTGTTCGTCCAAGCCACAAGCTCAAAGGAACCCTGCTGCCTTGTAAAGTAATGGGTTCGTGCGAAGATTTTAGTCACTGTCAAAACACTTGTTACAATATCAGGGTACGTTCATCAATCACGTCTTGTATAGTAAAGTTGTTGTTAAGTTTGGCAGAAGTCTAATTTTAAACCTCGATGCAAATTTTACCGCCCCAAGCGATTCTTTTAGTCTCAATTCCCTAACCCCTTAATTCTTTTAATTCTTGCATCTTGTTTCACACCCGACTTTGTTTTTCACTCCACCCTCAACAACTATCGTCTCACGGGATACTGGTGAGAGGAATGTTTTTCTGAGGAAACTTCAAGACAGGGTGAAAATTCAATAAAATGTGAACATCTCTCTGTTGTTTGCCAGGGAGACGAAACCCATTCTCAACTTATTCTGGACGATACCAAACTCAGCTGACTTTCAGGGCAGAGAGCACAGTGTGGAGAATGTTGCCAGAATTCGTGACAATAACAATCCCGGAGAGATTAATAAGATAACAGATGCAAATGCAACACAACTAGCAATAAACTACTCGTAAATCATTCTTATTTTATCGCTTGCTTTTGAGAACGAGACAAACTCATCGCTTTTTGTTACTGGTATTTCTGCCGATATGTCCTGATGCCAACAAAATTAAAAAAAATAGTAATTCAACGACTACTCTTCTAAAGCAAAAACTTCAACCCAGCCTTACTGTTTTAATGAGGAGTAACTGTCTTGTATCCTTTCACTTCTTTATTTACTCAATTAATTAAATCATTAATCAATTCATTCCTTCAATCATTTATTAATCAAATGCTCTTTTCGTTCCAAGTTTGAGATCCCTATGTTGGAATAACTACGTGCACCCTTAAAGACACAAATGGTGAAGGTTTTCTCGACCCCGCAAACAAAGGTTGTCCAATGTTCAGGTGACGGGCATCGATTGGATACTTGATTAAATGCACAGATAATGTTAACAAAAGCTTATCTGTTAGTAGTTTAAAGCCGAAGCTTACATATAGGTTTCTTTTACCGAAATAATGAGGGTAACATATACATTTCCAGCTGTTTTTGTTTATGCTGCAAACTTTTTTAACTTTTATTTATGAAACGACACTTCACTCTCCATACCCATACTTAGTTACCACTGTTCTTTGAGATTTTCAGGAAACCAAGATGTTTCGGCATTTCCAGAAAGGTGACTTTGCCAAGACAAGGTACAGTCGATAAAATTTCGCATCTCATACCTTGGGAGTGCTACATTAAAATCTTTTATAATCTCATTGCTTTATCATGGCAATACTTAGTCTTATTCAGATCATGGCTGCAGATATATAATTGTAATTGCTTTATGAACACTACAACGACTTTCCCTATTAAATTCGACGAAAAAACATGGAATAATCAGGCAGATTTTCAGTAAATCTTCGAAAGAGACCGAATGCAATAACAGCGTTAAAACGCAATATCCTCTTGCTCTGGTCCTCAAAAGGAAAATAGTCTGCAAATGTCCTTACAGACTTGTTTTTATCGTTAATTAAAGGATGAAAAGAATATCATGTCCTTCCGATTGCTATAGAGGCCTGTTGAACCGAGTTATTTCCCTAAAGTCTATCTCATAGAGAAACATCAAGATTTCTCTTTCCTTGTGCAGTCTTTCAATTCCACTTTTAAAGTTGATGACAGTTCTCTCTAAAATCCCTTGACTGACACTCCGGTAAAAGAGCTAAATTACAGAATACATGTAATATCCGCACTTTGCATTTTTTCTCAGCTTGATTAAGCACATACTGGCAATCGTGAATCACGATAATTCTGTCGCTGGTAATTAAAAAGAAAACCTTTCCCAGCCTCAAAGTCTCTGAAACGAATGCGAATCTTTACACAAATAACGAGCTCCAAGCAGCCTGAACTCAATCCGAGCCTATGTTTTCAGCTAACATATTCTCGTCATCTCCAGATCCTGAGAATGATAAAAGATAAAAATAATAATATCAGTGCCTTTCTCATAAATATTTTCGTAGTGGTCACAACCTCTTTTTTTTCTCCCTTTCTCGCCAAATGAAGAGCGCAATAGATCTGCAGGTTAAGCTAAAATTTTCAATGGTAAAATTCTCCTGTACCCAGTGATCATCCAATTGATCACTTTCCTGGATAGAAATACCAAAAGAAAATTGAATACAAACCTTGATCTTTTGCCCCGCTGCGCCACAAAAGGAACTTTCCGAAGTAAGACATAAGACATCATTGCCAACCGGATAACAGTAGCCGCTAAGCCAACGGAAATGAACACATACTAGATGGTTTTGGTCGCACCTGAATAAATATATCTCATTAGATGTTTTGATGTATAGTATCGCTGAGTATTACAAAATACAAACTACGAGCACAGATACTCAGCGATACTAAACGATCATGTAAAGACAACATTTTTTTTTTGGTTTTATCTCGAGCGTGGGACTACAAACTTAGTATTTGCCTAGCTTAGCAAAGGCTCTCCGCGCCTCAGTAGCAAGCATTAGACCGTGGAATCTAAAGATCAGTTGTGCTATTCCACATTGAGTTAAATGCAAATTCAAATGCATTTATAGAGTGCCATACTCCAATAATTTTCCAGGGCAATTAATTGTTTAACTCTCGATTAAACAACATTATTCCATACTGTTCTGGCTAATTAAAATAAAATTAAAAATATATAGGTCTTATAAGGTCTCAGATTTTCTCCTTCGTACCATACTCGTGGAGAAACGACAAAACATATTTCGTCAGTGCCATTTCTCTATTTATTCAAAGATAATTGTTTTAAAAGGATCTTGACTACTAAGTAATTCGTCTCACCTTTCGATGTTATCTCCCTTGTTGGTGCTTTAGCGGCTGTTGATGTTTCTACCGTCGTTTTTGCAGTTGTTTCTGCCATTGTTGTTCGTGGTGTTGATGGCGATGTTGACGTTGGTACTGCAATGAAAAATCAAGATGCAGATATTAGATCAACACTGTAATAAAGATCACTGCGATAAAGTAAGAACTGTCCATGTATTAATGCCAGTAAACTAAACCTACTTCTTACGTCGTTAACAAAGCTTTCCATCTCATGATCACTCACATTGGAGGGTATGCTTTGAATCTTCAATGAGAAAGAAAATAAATGAATAAATAAGTGAGTAATGGCAATATTTTTAATGTTGGCACAATTTCTCTTCCAAGGGACTCCAAGAGTCGACTTCGGAAGGACCCCGGTTATAAAAAACATCAAATTATTAAACTTTTTTAACTCACTAATAGATAAATATTTTCCGGGTAAGTATAGCCATAATGAGAGATATTAATGCTGAGATACGTTTGGTTCTACAGAGAAAATAATAGCAGGAGATAGTTAGGCCAAAGTCAGTAACATTAGCCCCTTTTAA